TCCATTATTTCTTTTTTCTTGCATTTTTGTCTGCCATTTCAGTTTGGTGGTTTACTATAATATTTTTCTCTATTTTCTCTTGATTTATGTTTTGTGACTCTGCTCTGACTTTTTGTTTTTTGGATAGCATGAGGTTTGTATAAAAGACCTCATAGATGAGATAGCTCTTTTTCTGAAAACATCCTATCTCCATTTTTCTATGCAGGCTCTGTCCTTTTCCTCTAAATCATCTTAAATTAAGTATCTTCCATTTGTTGGTTGAAGTAAGGAGTAGCCTAAGAAATCTTTCATTTTGTTTGGTGAGTAAAAAGCAGCTGGCAGTTTCTGGGTTGCCATTTACTTTTTTTTTTTTTAATTTTGCCTGTTTTGTGGTTAAGAGACATTGATTTTACAAGCATATCTAAGGGAATGGGAGTTCTTCTTAGATTTTTTCTAGCTGTATATTTAATCCCAATATCTTATATCTAAGATATTCTGAGTTCTCCTCTTCTTTTTTTAACCATTCTTCCACCTTTTGTGTTCTCCAAAACTGGCTATTAACTAATTTCTCTGCTTTTCTCCTTTCCCACTTTCTCCTTTTCTTTTCTTTGTCCACAAATCAATGGAGACAATTTTAGAGTTAAATACCTTGTACAAAGTAAAAAAAAAGGTGTCAAGAGCTGAGTTAGGAGGGAGAAAATTCAAGATTGTATTTCTTCTTGTGTTTTAATGCTTCAGAGCCAATAGTTAGAAGTTGAAACTAAATTAAAATCTAAAAGTTTATTTTACTACTCCATCACTTGTTACCAAATATGTTCCTACTACTACCAGATTAAAAGGTAGTGAATTACTGAGATGCTAAATGGAGAAGTTAGTATGTGTGTATAAATGCAGAATCAGGATGGGAGATGTGGTTGCAGTAGAGCAGTATCTCATCATGAATAGTATCTCCTGGTCTTTTAATAAAGTTAATTTCAATAAGAGTTAGGAAAATAAACTGTTTGGGAGTAATCAATTCTATTTGCAGACACATAGACTCTTGCTGGAGAGTTTACTTGGAAAATATCAGTAGCTGGAGACAGTTGTCTCATGTGGTTTAAAAAGTCTTTCATGGAGAATCCGAAGACCCACTCAGATTGATTCCAGCTCTAATATTTAATATCAGCATGGCCCTAGTTGAATCATCTAACAATTTAACTGCAGATTTCTAATACTTAACTTGTAATTCCTTTTATTTTTCTTACTGATCTTATAAGAGCTTTGTGATAATCAAGTGAACTATTCAGTGTCTAAATATAGGTGTCAAACAAATGTTGCTGAGTAAAACAATGAATTAAAGGAAGAATAAAAGATTATTTTTTCTATCTTATCTGAGGACTCCTCAAGATTCCTGTAGATTTAGTGGGGGAAATCCAAACAGTTTTTATTTGAGGAAGTGTTTTTTTTCTTTCTCAAGGCCCTGTCTATAATTTGAAACAGATTAGCTCTTATGCTTTTAAAATCTTCTGTCTAGCCTATTTTCATCACCATTACACTTCATTGAAACCTGTTCCCTCTCTTCTGGTATTAGTGTATGGGTTTGTCCCATCCAGGCGTTGGTTAATGCCTGAGATACTTTTAAGCAACCAGCTCAACTTGGTTAGGACACTCTTCAGTAGTTAAATGAAGAGTGTCAGGCAAATAGCACCTTTACTGTTGCACCTATAAAGGGGAACATTTTTAAATGGTTAGAGCAGTTCCCCCTCCCCCTCAGATGATTTCAAGAGAGGTTTGCTTTTATGACAGTTGTGAGACCACAACTGTAAAATGTCTTATTTAGGACTCTTCTCAAAGGTAATCTCACCAAATGTTTGGTCCACCTTGGGAGTCTTAGGATCTTCATTTGTATGTTTAATAGGGTTGTTTTAATTCATGTACAGAATGAAAAAGAATTCTTTTAACTTAGAAATTCATAAAGCATAAATGATTTGCTTGATTGTGATTAAACTTGTAAGAAAGAATGAAGGTTAGATTCTCTTAGGCAGTTTCTATAGAAGAAATATAGATGAATATCAATTTTGAATGGTAGATGTAGAAGTATGGTTCTAATAGTGACTATGGATTTTTCTCTATAGGGCAATGATGAAGTCCTGAGCCCAGACTAATGGAAATGTTTCTTAAATGTGAAAATATTGTATTTAATTTTCAGACTCTGGAGTCAGACTCTCTGTGCCTGAATGCAAGCCTTACCACTCATAACTTGTGAGATTTTCAGCAAAATTGATTACTACAGACTGAACTCTATCCTCCCCAAATTCCTATGTTAAAGCTCTAACCCCAATAAGTTGGTATTCAGAGCCTGGGCCTTTGGGAGGTAATTAATTTTCTATGAGATAATAAGGTTTCATGATGAGATTAGTCCCCTTCTAAGAAGAGACCAGAAAGTGTGCTCTTCCTTTCTCTCTGTCATACAACAACATAGCAACAAGGTGGCTGCCTGCAAGCCAGGAAGAGGACAAGCAATAGGCATTGAATTGGTCAGCACCTTGATCTTGGACTACTCAGCCTCCAGAACTGTGAGAATTAAATATCTGTTGTGTAACCTACCCAGACCATGGCATTTTGTTCCAGCACCCCAAGAAGACTAAGACATTACAATTTCTTTCCTTGCCTCAACTTCTCCATCCCTGAAATAGAGACAGTAATTGTTCCTACCTTACAGTCATCTTTTTGAAAACTCTGTTATTTACTACTTGTAAATCCTCATAATGTGTCTGACACGTTGTTATCCTAAATAAATGTTAACTAGCTTTTTTCCTCCATAAAAATGCCATGAAAGTATGGATTTTCATCTGTTTGGGTCCCAGATGTATCCAACTGTTTTGTATAATGCCTAATACTTTGTAAGTGCCCTATGAAATATTTGTTGAGTGATTGAACTTCTCCAGACTCTCCTATTCTTTCTATGTAACTTAGGTTTTTCATAATCTTTTTGATTCTTTCAACTTCCCACTCTAACATTCAGCCCACAGTGACCAAAAATTGATTTATTTTTGCCTCTAATACATATAAGCAAATTTTAGAAAATTCTTTGCCTTTCTTGTTTCTCAAAGTTCAATTTTTATGTAAATGGTTTCCATCTGCTTTATCTCTATAATAAATATTACTCTATTCTTATTTGCTATTTTACAAACCAAAAATGTTACACAAACAAGTTTTCTCCATCTTCAAACATTCCTGCTTGAGTTGGTGAATTCTATGTGAAGCTATATTGGAAGGGAATTTCTAGATCTAGAAAGAGTTCTAGTTTGAGGAGAACTCTAAAAGCAGGTCCCCTTTATACTCAGAAGGCATATATCATGGTTAGTGCTTTCAGAATATCATCAGAATTCTCCCAGTTACCATAGGTTAAGTATATAATGTAGGATAGATACTTTCACAATCAGTATTAATTTGCATCACACAATGTGGCTTCTTTGAGGGTATCTGCATATTTCCTGTGAGGATCCATTAAAACGAAGACTCTAGCCATCATTTTGGAAAGATTTTCAACACCTGAGTTAGTGGCAATGACAAACAATTTGAATTTTGCCTTCAGTATTTTCCAGGCCTTTGCAACTGATATCATTAACAATCTATTCTCTTTTTCTGCTTCTTTTGAGTGTGTTTTTTGTGTAACATTCTAACCCTTGATAACTCTACTATTTGCAATCTCCATCTTTTGTTCTCTTCCTTATCCAGGTCTTTTCAATAAAACTTTCTGCATTGGCTGGGCCCTGGCTGAGTGATTGTTTGTCCACTCCCACTTTGGCGGCTCAGGGTTTCACCGGTTCTGATCCTGGGCATGGGCATGGCACTGCTCATCAAGCCATGTTGAGCTGGCGTCCCACATAGCACAACTAGAAGGACCTACAACTAGAATATACAACTATGTAGGGGGGAGTTGGGGAGAAGAAGAAGAAAAAAAATCCAAAAATTTGCAACAGATATTAGCTTAGGTACCAATCTTTAAACAAAAAAGAAACTTTTGTGCAATTGGGGAAATGCTGTATATCTGTGCTTTACAATATGTTAAACAGCAACCACATATGGCTATTGAGTACTTGAAATGCAGCTAGTGAGACTAAGGAACTGAAATTTTAATGTAATTAAGTTAATTCTGAATTAAATTTATATAGCCATATATGACTACTGGCTATCTGATTGGACAGCACATTAGGACTGATAAATGAAAGAGGCCAAAGCATTTTGATAACCTTATATTATTCTTGGGCTTTCAATGCATATGAAGTGACTCAGTCCAGCAGCATCATATGTTTAAAGACTCAGATTCTTTTAGATCAATGTATGACTAAAAATAAATGCAACCCTGGGAGTCAATAAATAATGTCTCATCAACCTTAGACACTTTATATTTATTACTGATTGGCAAAGTTCTTGCTGAAACTACTAGTCCCGGGAAGAGCATTTTCCATAATAGAAAAGTGATTCTAAAAAATTTCCCCTATTTTCCACACTAGGCAACTCTAACGTAATCAGTTTCTTCAAAACAGTTACTCGATCATTAGAGGGTAAGTCAGGAGAAGTCCTGGTCTTGTTGAATTTCAGCCAAAAGGACTAATTGACAAGGTCTTTTCTGGTTTCCCTGCCAAAAAGTATGGCAGGCATTTTTATAGTCCTTCTCCAGTCACCACATCCCCTCAAATGCATACCATATAACTCAGTTTCTGCTTGCATAAATAAATATTTCAAGATTGTTTTATTGCCCGTAGAAAGTATGCTTACTCTTCAAAGATCTCTCTTCTTGTCAAAAATATCAAAATTCCTGTGACATGAAAAGCATTCACAAGATGAGTGAAATATTTTATAAGTGCTCATTCTTCTTTGGTCTAGTACAAATGATTTAACAAAGTGATTCTGACTTATAAACCAAAAACCATTTAAACAAAAAAAGACAAGCAAGAAAACCTTTGCATTTGGAAAAGCAAACGGACCTCAGAAGAGGTAGGAAAATATGTGTGAAGCCAAAGAAATTTTCAACCTCATTGAGCTTCATTCATCATCGTGATGATTTCAGTGTCAATCTGATCATAAACATCTAACCCTAGCATAAAATCAAGATGATTGTAGGAAGGAATCTTCTTATGGTAAATGAGATTGGAGACTCTTGGTTCCAAATTCTTAATATCTATGGGATCCACCAGAATGTCCCGTCCACCACTCCACATTGCAGTTGGAACCCTCATATCCTCCACATGGTATAATGGAGGAGTGAGCTAAAGGAAAATGAGGAATGGTAATGTTTATGTTAACAGCATATTAAATTTCAAATAGTAAATTGATTATTTTCTTCTCTCATGAAATGATAATGGTTATTACCTGTTCATTAAGTCCATAGAAATTATCTATGGAATCTCAACCTTTGTCAGACAGAAATGGACTAATGTCTAAGCCTTTAAATTGTACTAACAAAATGATTTTCACAAACTAGAATCTCTGTGCTCCTTAGGTTCTTTATATGTGAAATGGTGACATTAGTAAATATTTGACAAATCTCATAAGGTGGTTGTGAGGTTCAAATGACATGACATATGGAACTGTGCTTTGTATAGTCTTGTGTTAAAAATTTATGCTTTATTATATTGAACCCATCCTTGGGTCTATCCTTATCATCTTCCCGGGAAATGTAAAGTACTGCATAATCTTTTAAAAACAAGCGTTTTCTGAGATTTTCAATATATTTTCATTTTTGTCTTTCAAAAAGGGCCAAAGAATTAAATTTTGAAAAGTTACCTTACCTGATTATGGTGTAGAATATTTAAAGATGGACTTCCCCAGTCATAAGCTTGACATGTACCTTTATTAGCCATCTTAAATAAAGATAAAAAACTATCACTTTAAAAATATTAAAAAATAAAACTAAAGATTACTGAGTCTCATTGCCTCATTTTACAATATGACCCATTGATTCAGATTCAATGTCCCCCATATATAAGTCCGGTACTCTTTCCACCATAATGCTATGTGTTCCTGGGTGAATGGCTACTAAAACATATTCCCAGAAAACTAGAAATCAGACAAATTGGCACAAATAACATGCTTTTAAGAAAAATATGAGTATATTTTACATACATTTTAATAATATTTAAACTATAGTAACTTATCATGCTATCTATTAAGGAAGGACTTAATAAACAGAATAAAAAATTAATTATGATTTTATGGGGATAAATTTGTTCTTGTCAAGGTATTTTAAAATGTAAATTTGTTATATCATTAAATTTTGCATTATATTTTATTTTTGTGGTACAAAGTAAATTTCAGTTTGTAACTATTTCTTAATAACTAAATATTTCAGATTACTAGAATCCAAGTTAATGAAGTATTACAGTACAAATAAAATAATCAATACTAATTTGCTAGCAATATAAAGACTGTTTTGTGCCTTACAATTTAATTGACATCAAAAAATATTTTCAAACAGATTAAATGTTTGCATTGAAAGTTGGTATGCAGAAAAAATTTTCATCTTTTACACAGAATTTCCTTTTTATAAAAATTTTCCCATGTCACTCCAAGATATGGTAATTTTGCCACATAGTAAGAAAGATTTCTGTTGCAAAGAATTGTCTCAGAATTGGAAGGAGTAAGAAATTGGCCTTTTGTAGCACTCTAATTGTCTGTTATAAATTGTTCAAGGACTAACTTTTCTACAAAGTGGAGATGCTAGGCAGTGGAAATGTTCTAAACGGATTTCTTCAAACAGGCAAATGGAATGAGACATCTCTTTTTAGGTGACATATGTTGCTTTGTTGATTATGGGCCAATGGAGTAAAAACATTCATGGCAGTGAAGACACATGAAATCCAAGAGTATCATCCATCTATAGATTTCAAATGGTATGTGCCTTGGAATAAGATGCTCTTGCACTATGTGAATAGGTATAAGCTTACACATTGGCAAAGGGAACTAGCAGGTGAGCTTATTTTGTCCCCAGTCTTTTGGCTGCCACATGGGAAATTCTTCTGGATGAGTAAAGAAGAAAACTTATCACAATTTACACATATACCTCAAAGGCTCCTAGGATTTCCACTATCACTAACCCCTGAAAATTGCCAAAACTGATGCTAAGTTGACACAAAATACATTTATACCAGTTTTCCACCTTGAATAGAAAAGAAAGCTATCAGTTTTTAGAGTAAAAGAAAGAACCAATTCTGCCTCTATCACGTTCCCCCTCCCCACACACACACAGGGGTGGTATCTGTTCTTGGCATCAAAGAAGTTCCCTTTCATTTCCCCAAAAAGGGCTGTTAATACTTTGGCCTCAAAACCAAACACATACTGAATCTTATCAAGTAGAAGATGTTTCAAATAAAAGAGAGAAGAAATAGAAGCAGGGAGAGAGGAGAAGAAAGAAGGAAATTAAAGAATAAAGGAGGAAATGTCTAAGAAATTTGTCATTTATTATTGTCATCTGGTTGGAGATGGCATATATAAATTATTTTTAATGAGACTATGAAAATAAACGACAGAAATGTTATGGATTGGTTTATGAAACATCTTCCTTTTTTGTTAAAGAACTTAAAATATCTCCTTTGATTATGGGATAACAAAGTTGAGTTGCCTGATAAAGTATAGGATGCCAAATCAAAGTGAATTTGGAGTATTATATTGGATATACGTATAACAGAAATTTATTCATTTATCTGAAATTAAATTTAACTGTGTCCTGTATCTTTATTTGCTAAACCTGGCAATGCTAAGTAAAAGTCATTTGACTGAAATTTAAGTTCTGCAATAACTTATTCTATTCTCCAAAATCATTTTTCTTATTACACCTCATCACGTAGCAATGCTTTTCTCCTCATACTTTTTATAGATATTAGAAATTCAATAAATACTGAGTGATAGAATTTGAAAAGTTATACCTGACCATAGTGTAACATATTTTGAATTGATGTTCCTGATGGCAGCTCTGTTAGATATACATCCATACGACTCTAGAAGAAAGAAAAACAATATACACATTTGTCAATAATTAGTTTCTTTCCAAGAATGACAATACTTCAAAATAGTAGAAGTGTGTTACTTCTATGATTCAGATCCCTCTTTAATCAATTTATAAGGAAACAAATGTTTTTTTCCGTAGCCAGAGGAATCTAAATCTCTTTGTGTTTTATATGGTAATATTTGATCAATTTTTTTTTCCTTGAGAAAGAATGATCTTTTCCTGAATAATCAGTTCTGGGATGAATGAAACTAGATTTATTAAAATGGAACAGAGGAAAAAGCTTAAAATTCCTTCACATATGATATTCAGATATACATTCAAATATGATATGAAGGCTTACATTTGAATTTTCTACATATTCAGAGAGATTACTTAATCTTAGAAATAATGAACTCTAGGACTTATGTGCAAAATACATCTTGGATTATAATATAGTTTACCTATATTAAAGAGGTTAAGATGGTATATAACATACCATATATATAGTATGTTAATTGTCCCAGGGTTTTAATTTTTACCTATCAAGATAATGATATAGCACCACTAACACAACATAAAGAAAAAAAATCACTTTAAATCATTAATGACACATACCTGATTTAAGTTTTGGGGATTATATCCACCCACCAATGTAATTAAATTGTTGCAAGCTGTATCAATTATCTCACGGTTGCACACATCCTGACCGATGATTTTATTGATATATTCATTGAGTAAAAATTCTTTTTCACCAAACAGGATCTGAAAATAATATATTTCAAGGATAACTTTTGACGGAAAAATGTGTTTGTCAACTACAAATCAAGAAAGATAGAAGAGGGGCCAGCCTGGTGGCATAGCAGTTAAGCTTTCACTTTCTGTTTTGGCGGCCCAGGGTTCACCAGTTCAGATCCCCGGTGCAGACCTATGCACCTCTTGTCAAGCCATGCTGTGGCAGGCATCCCACAGAAAAGGTAAAGGAAGATGGGCATGGATGTTTGTGCAGGGCCAGTCTTCCTGAGCAAAAAGAGGAGAATTGGTGGCAGATGTTAGCTCAGGACTAATCTTCCTCAAAAAAAAAAAAAAAAAAAGATACAAAATTGCAATGTATTGCTGAATGGTAGGATGATTTAGTTCACTGTGAAATTCTACACATAATGTGAAAGAACTTGCCCAATAAAATAGTATGTGTTAGAAATGCTTTTTAGCAATTCAACTGAACTTGATCTCACTTCAGACAGAGAAAATAGTTTACTATAATTGAGCTAATGAAAATAAAACTGTGTATTTTTTGATGCTGAGCTACATATAAATGGAAGGGAAATGCACCCACAATTACAACACATACACGCAGGTGAGCAGGTAAAATTTGCTGACTTTAAAATATGTGCATTGTGAGAAAAGGTAATAAAATAGGATTTATAAAGTGAATTTTTAAAAAGACAGAAGATAAATTTTAAGAGATAGTGGAGCAGAGGAGGAAAAGTAAGTTAGATGAAGTGATAACAGACTAAGAGATGTGTAATAAAAGAGCAAGAATAGATAAGGGAGAAAAATTAAGAAAGTTTATTATAAAAAATGCATGTTTTCTTTGGATTTCACTTCAAGGAAAGGATAGTGGAAAAAGTATATTCAGAGAAACTAATGAGGTAAAAACAAAGGAAATTATTTTAGAGACCAGAATTCAATACCTCTCAAAGAAACTAAAAGAGGAAGATATGAAATTTGCATGTAAAAATGAATGAACAAATGTAAATCAAAAAGTAAAGCATAAAATTTTACATAATGTATGATTCCATTTACACACACTTTTAGAAATATAAAAACTAATCCTCTGTGACAGAAAACACTGTCACTATATTTGAGGTTGCTTAGGGCTGGGAGTGAGAGAATGACTGCTGCGAAGGGATAAATGGAAACTTTCTGGGGTGACTAAACTATTCCATAGCTTTATTTTGGTGGTAGTTACATGGATTTTCACATTTGTCAAAACTTACTGGAAAATATGTTTAAAATGAGCTCATATTGTTGTATGTAAATCATACCTACATTAAAATAATGAAAAAATAACATAAAAGATCATAAAAATGACAAACATACAGTTTGAAGCAGCACCACACAAGGTAGATATTAGAAAGAAAAACCTACAGCACAAAGACATAATCTTTGGATGTTAAGAGAAGATACTCTGTATGCATTTTCCATGAAAAGGGCACAGCTAAATTATGAGTGAAATTAATTCCACAGAAAGAGGCTCCATCTAGAGTACATCTGGGTAGAAGGTAATGAAAACCAAAAAGTACTACATACATAGAGACTTTAAACAATCCAATAATTTGATTTATTTGAAATATTTATAACATGACTTGGGAATATTAGAGAACCTACATTCTTTTCAAGCATACAACAAAAAATTTTCGAAAGTTGACCACGGATGTGACTTCCATATTGGTGGCAAAAGATCTCCAAAAAGCCACTCCTTAATAATAGTAATGAGAACTGTCAAAATCAATGTTTTGATAATTCTGGAAATTAACGAAAAGCACACCGTGGTCCATAGATTGTATCTATAAGAAAACTACCTTGAATCTTGGTAAAAATAGTGAATTATGAGAGGTTTTAGCTTGTGATAATCCTGTGTGCCTTTCCTAGCTCTGCAGCAGCTTAGAAAAACAGGAACCTTCAAACCAATGTAGCTTTGTAAAACAGCAGCTTAGCAGGTACTGGAAAGGAATGAATGGGATTGAAGCTCCTCAAAATGCCCAACCTCCAGTGAATTGACATTATTCAACCTGTCTGGCAGATCTTGGAAAAAGCTTATTGATAGAGTTTGTCTTTATTTGACCTGACTCATAGCTTACTAAGTGGGAAAAGCCCTATCTCATCTTTAGAGACCTATGAGACACTAGCAAACATATTAACATACGCATAATTGGAATCTAGAAGGGGAGGAGAGAAAGGTAAGAAAGAATATTCGAAGGAGGAATGGCTAAAAAATTCCCAGATTTGATGAAAGGCATTTTTCTTCATATAAAAGAGGGTGAACAAACTCTAAGTAGGATGAACTCAAAAGAGATCCAGACAAAGACACATCATAGTTAAACTGTCAAAAGATGAAAACAAAGAACTTTGAATGCAGTGAGAAGCAATTCAGCATATAAAAGGAATCCTCATCAAAATTAACAGATGATTTCTCAACAGAAACAAAAGAGGCTAGAAGACAGTGAAATGACATATTCAAAGTTATAAAAGAAAAAGAGGTCAACCAAGAATTCTATATCTAGCAAAACTACACTTAACCAAAGACATTTCCAAAGAAACAAAAAATTAGAGAATCACACACTAGCAGATCTGACCTACAAGAAACACTAAAAAGAGTCTTCAGACTGAATGAAAGGAACTAGCCAGTAACTAGAAGAATTCACATCAATAAATAAAGAGGATCAGTAAAGGAAAGTACATAGGTATCGATAAAAGACAGTAAAAATGTATTTTTGTTTGTAATTCTTTTTTTCTCCTCTCTCATTTAAAAGGCAATAATTATAATAATGTGGTGATGGACTTATATATAATTTATATGAAAAGAATAGAATAGAGGGAGAAGAAATTGAACAATATTGATCAAAGTGTTTGTATACTGCTAAAGTTAAGTTAGTATTAATCTAAACTAGATTGTTTTAAGACGTCATTTGTAATCCTCAAGGCAATAAAAAACACACAAAAGACATAGTATAAGAAACAATAGTAGAATTTAATGGTACACTAAAAATATCTATTTAACACAGAAGTTAGTAATGGATGGATAGAGGAACAAAAAGGCGTAAGACATATAGAAACCCAATAGCAAAATGGCAGAAATAAATCTAACTTTATTAGAAATTCTATTAATTCTAAATGGACTAAACACTCTAATCAAAAGATAAACATTAGTAGAATAGATTAAAAAAACATGGTCCACTACAGATTCAATGTAATCCCTACAAAAATCCAATCTGCTATTTTTGCAAAAATTGATAAGCTTGTTCTAAAACTCACATGGAAATGCAAGGGACCCAAACTAACCAAAACCATCTTGATAAAGAGAAAAAAGTTGGAGGACTCACTCTTCCTCATTTCAAAATTTATTACAAAGATATAGTATTCAAGGTAGTGTCGTATTGGCATAAGGATAGACATATAGATAAATGGAATAGAATTGAAAGTCAGGAAATAAATCGCTATATATATAGTTTTTTGTGTGTATATATATGATATATATATAATATATTATATATAATATTTATATAAGGGTTTATATATAATATATATATTATATAGGAATATATAGTCAATTTTCAACAAAGGTGCAAGGAAATTAAGGAAAGAATAGTCTGCAAAAACCAATGGTGCTATGACAATTCAATGTTCATATAAAAAAATTAAATTAGGTGCCAGCCCAGTGGCATAGTGGTTCAGTTCAGCGTGCTCCACTTCAGTGGCCCAGGTTTGCCTGTTTGAATCCTGGGAGTGGACCTACACCACTCATCAAGCCAGGCTGTGGCAGCATCCCACATATAAAATAGAGGAAGATGGACACAGATTTTTAGCTCAGGGCCACCTTTCCTTAATCAAAAAAAACGAAAAAAAAGAAAAAAGAAAGAAATTGTCCTCTTTCCTTACACCAAATACAAAAATTAACTTAAAATGGATCACAAACCTAAATGAAAGAAGTAGAATTATCAGAATTTTAGAAGGAAAGGAGGAAATCTTTTTGACCTTGGTTTAGGCAATGATATTTTAGATATGACACCAAAAACAAAAGGGACAAAAGAAAAATGAATCGGACTTCATCAAAATGAAAACTTTTGTGCTTCAAAGGACATCATTAAGACAGTTAAAAGAAAGTGTATAGAATGGGAGAAAATATTTGCAAGTCATATATTTGATAAGGGATTTGTATCCAGAATACATAAAGAATTCTTATAACTCAACAGTACACAAATAACCACAAATGAGGAAAAGATTTGAGTAGACATTTCTCCAAAGAAGAGAAATAAGTGGCCAATAAGTAAGTGAAACAATATTTAACATAATTAGACATTACGGAAATGCAAATCAAAACTGCAATGATACACTACTTCAAACCCACTTGGATGGCTATGATAAAAAGACAAGGTAATAACAAGTGTAGGCCAAGATGTGGAATGCTCATAAACTCCTGGTGGGAATAAAAATAATGATACAGCTACCTTGGAAAACACTTAGGAGTTTCTTAAAAATGTTAAACATAGAGTTATCATATACCCAGTATTCAATTCCCAGGTGTATGCCCAATAGAAATGAAAACTTTTAAACAAATATTCATTGCAATATAATTCATAGTAGCAAAAAAACTGGAAACAATTGCAGTGTCCACTAATAGACTGATAAATGGAAAAATAAAAGTGGTGTATCCATACAATGAATATTATTCTGCTATGAAAAGGAAGGAAGTACTGATACATGGTCCAACATGGATGAACATTTAGAAATTTATGCCACGTGAAAGAAGCTAGACACAGAAGACCACATATTGTATGACTCAATTTATATGAAATGTCTAAAATAGGGAAATCTATAGAGATGGAAAGTATATTAGTGTTGGCCAGGTACTAGGAGAAGGGGACAATAGGATGTTTCTTTCTGAGATGATGAAAATGTCCTGGAATCAGATAGTAGCCATAGTTAAAACAAATAAAAATCCATGAAATGAGTTTTCAAACAGCAGATATCAGACAGCACAAGATAGTGATCACTGAAAATAAAAAGTGAAACAAACAAATTGAGGCCAACAGTTGCTCAGCTATTGGCTGAAGACTAATCCCCGACTGCAGTAGAAGAACCCAGGAAAAGCTGGGCAAGCTGTGTGAATTAATGAGATAGGGTTGAGATTTGGGAGAAAGCCATGGTAGGTAAATTTACTATGGTAAAAAAGGAGAGAGAATGAGAGAGAGAGCAAGATAGCTGAAGGGAGAGAGAGAGATATCTGGACATTTACAGAGGTTCCACCTGGATTCTTCAGCTTGGTACACATCTGTACATGCATTTGAAGAAACATACTCAAGGCCAAGAAATGAACCACTTGAAAAAGTTAGAGGTAAAAATTCCTGGAGCTAGAAGGTCTGAAATAGTGCCAGTCCCCATCAACCATATTTGAAAACCTCATAATTAACCATTATTAGAGTAATTAGTGGGTAATTGACTCAGAAGAAGGAAAAAATAGACCTAGACTAAAGGCCGTTCTGGTTTCTACTAACAAAGCAAAAGAGCAAGTCTCAGAATGAGTAAACTGTTTCCAAGTAAGTTAATTGCATGCCACAAGAAAAGCTCAAAACCCTGTCCAGGAATATGGAAATATCCAGCACCCAACAAGAAAGAATTCACAAACATTGACAGTCAATGAAAAAACACCAGTCACACAAAGAAGGAGGAATTAAGTCCATATGAGGAGAAAAATAAATCAATAGAAAGACTGAGAACACAGGTGATGTAATTGTTAGACAAGAATATAAAAGTCATTTAAACTATATTCCTCATGTATAAGACAATAGAGGAAAAAATAAGCATGCTAAGTAGAAATATGGATGATATGAAAAGACTAAAACTGAAGTTTTAGAAATGAAACCTAAAATGTCTGCGATGTAAAACACACTGCATAGGATTAGTAGCAAATGAATAGTGCAGAAGAAAAGATTATTTAACTTGAAGACATAAAAATAGAAACTAACCAAAAAGCAACATGGAGAGAAAAAATACTGAAAAGATATAAACACGTATCAGTGACGCATGGGACAACTTTAAAAGTCCTAATACATGTGTCATTGTAGCCCCTGAGGAGAGGCTAGAGAGGTGGCCCTAGAGAATATACTTGAAGAAAGAATTGCTGAAATTTTTAAAGTTTGATTTTCCCAAACAATGTACCCATAGATCAAAAAAGCTTAATGAATTCCAAGCATAAGAAACATGAAAAAATTATACCAACACACATAATAAAAAAAAATTGCTTAAAACTGGTAATAAAAGAAAAAAACTAAAGTGGTCAGAAAAAAGACATTGCATAAGGGAGGGAAAATCGTAACAATAAAAGACTTCTTTTTGGAAACAATGCAAGCCAGGAAACATGGAGCAACATCTTTAAAGTATCAATGAAAAATTAAAAAAACATATAAACTTAGAATTCTATCCCCAGTGAAAATATCTTTCAGAAACTAAGGCAAAATGTAGGTAATTTATAAATCAAAAACCTGATATAATTAATTATCAACAATAGAAAAAATGTTAAAAGAAGACCTACAATCACAAGGAAAATGATACCAGATGGAAATCAGGATCTGCACAATGAAATGAAGAGTGCAAGAAATAGTAAATACATAGGAGTATACAAAAGATGGCTTTTCTTGTTTTTTTAAGGGAGAAATAATTTAAAAGACAAATTGCTGTTTAAACAAAAAAAAATGACAATGTGTTTTGGTGTTGATAACATATGTCAACCTAAAAGATATGACAAAAGTAGCACAAGCGCCAGGAGAGGGGAAATGAGAATTTATTGTTTTAAGGTTATGATACTATATGTTAAGTAGTAAACATTACTTGCACATATGCTGTGATAAATGAAAGAAATATACTATAAACCCTGAAGGAACCATGAAAAAGCAAAACAAAATAAATTGATATACTTAATAAGCCAATAAAGGAGATAAAATGAAATCATAAAATATACCCAATTAATCCAAATAAGGCAAGGGGGTGGAATAAGACATCAAAAGAGAAATTGAGGTATTTTAACTTGATTGAAAATGAAATCATAACATATTGAAATTTGTTTGATATCCCTAAAGCAATGCCTGGAAGGAAATTTATAGCCATAAGTGCTTAAATTAGAAAAGAAGAAAGTTTAGAAAGCAATGATAGAAGAAACCAGAAAAGGAAGAAATTACTAAATCCAAAGTTCGAAGAAAGGCAACGATAAAGACCAAGTGGAAAGCAGTGAGCTATTAAGAAAACAATAGGGCAAATCAATTAAAACCAAAGCCTAGTTCTTTGAGAAGATTAATAAAATTGGTGTCTTTAGCCAGACTGATCAGGACAAAATGGAGAGATGCAAAAAATTACCAATATCTGGAACAAGAAAAGGGACATCACTACACATTCTATAGATATTAAAGGATTAGTAAGGAAATATTGTGTTTAGTTTTGTAGCAAGCAATTCAATAACTTAGATAAAATGGGCATATTGTTTGAAGAAATATTATCGATATTTATTCAAACATAAATAGATAACCTGTATAGCCATAAGTCTATTAAAGAATTTGAATTTGTAGCTAAACACTCCCAACAGAGAATTCCAGGCTCAGATGACTTTACTGGCAAAATATATCAAATATTTATAAAAGGTAGAATATCAATTTTATATGGTCTCCTCCAGAAAAATGAAGCAAAGGAATACTTTCCAACTCACTTTATGAGGCCAGCATTACTCTGATACCAAAATTAGAACAAGAGATTATAAGAAAATAAACTATATCCAATAGACTTCATGAATACGTGTACAAAAATGTTTAACAAAATTTTTGCAAATTGAAGACACCAATATATAAAAAGTATAATACATCAAGAAAAAATGCAGTTTATTCCTAGAATGAAACATTAGTTTAACTTTCAGAAAATCTATCAATGTAATTCACCTTATTAACAGACTACAAAACAAAAATCATGAGATCGTCTCAATAGATGCAGAAAAAGTATCAAACAGTATCAATGTTCATTCCTGATAGACATTCTCAGTAAACTAGGACTAGAAGGTAACTTCCTTAAACTGATAAAGTGTGTCTAAGAAAACCCCTTACTAAATATCATATAATAGTGAAAAACAGAATACTTACCCTCTGAAGAGAGAAAAGGATGTCTGCTCCTGCTATTTATATTCAACACTGTTCTGGAGGTGTTAGCCAGTACAGTAAGGTACACTCACACAAATTAAATTTAAAAAGTATCAACACTAAAAAAAATTAAGAAATAAAACTTTTTCATAGAAAACATGATCCTCTAAATATAAACCTCTTTGAATCTACAAAAGAGCAAATAGAACTAATATGTGTGTTTAGCAAGGTTGTAGGATATAACACCATATACAAAAATCAACTTTTTTGTATATACTAGCAAGAAACAATCAGAAATTCTTATTTTTTTAAACCTGAGAGAAACTGGAGAGGCCTTAAATATATGGAGATGGAGATTATTTTCATGAACTGCAAGATTCAACTTCTCAATAAAGTTTTGGGTTCTTTTTTTTTGGTTTGCTTTGCATAACAGAAATTGGCAACTAATTTTAAAGTTTAGTGCAAGATATTATTATAGGACAATAATTTTTTTTGCTGAGGAAGATTCACCTTGAGCTAACATCTGTGCCAGGGTTCCTCTATTTTGTATGTGGGTCGCTGCCACAGCACAGGTGCTGACGAGTGCTGTAGGTCTACACCCAAGAACCAAACCTGGGCTGCCAAAGTGGAGTGCACTGAACTTAACCACTAGGCTGTGGGGCTGGCCCCCAATAGGAAAATAACTGAAAAAGAAGAATAAAGTTGGAGAACTCACAATTCCTGGATTCCAGAATTACTATAAAGATTTTCACAAGGATGAAATGTCTAGCAAGTTTACCCAACAACATTAGCAAGTTACAGATAAGGTTAAGAAAGCAGTTGCTTTTATTTTTAATGATATGCCTAAGTCTAAATGCTAAGTAACACTTTTTATATAAAAAGAAGCAAAACAAATACATGGCAATATTATCCATGTTTTTGAGTAAATATATATGTAAATACATAAAAGTAGCTGGAAATATAAGCAACAAACTAGTACAAGTCATAAGCTCCAAGGAGAGGAGATGAATGGATGCAAGTATACATACGAAAAGACGCTCAATTATTAGTCATCAAGTAACCACAGATTAAAACCACAGCAAGAAACCACTCCAAACCAGTTACAACGACTGAAATTTTAACCTGAAAGTATCAACTGATGGCAAAGATGCAGAGGAACCATTACCATCACATTATGTTGGTGATGCAAAATGGTACAGGCACTTTGGAAAACTCATGTTTTTAATGAAGTTAAACATACATTGACTACATGGTCATTGTTGTTACCACTCACACTAGGATTTCCAATACTTTTATCTGTCATTCATTAAGATATTTCCTAAATTCTCTACAATATTCCTGTACTAAATATATAATTAATGTAATCACTGCAGGTGTAATGGGGAGACTTTAGTGTAGAGGGAGCAAGATGATGGCAAATGAAGGAAGTTGAAAGTGGAAAAAACTCATTCAACCTATTGAAATTTCAGTGTGCAAAATTAAAAGAGAAATAGAGATTTTGATTTGCATAAGGAGAAACTGCTTAATAATTATTTCAAAAGATAGACAATACATACAAGGAATAAAAGGGGGAAAAAAAGCTTGACGAACTGGGTAATGCAAGGCTGAGCACCAGGCAGAATGCAACACCAAGTTTAGGAGAGCTGCATTAGGAGAGAGCAAAGTCAGCGAGGGAAACTCAGGATTTTAATCCAGCAGGAGGCTATGTCAGCATCTCTCTTCTTTAGCTTGGTTCACATTTCCTCACTTTTAAAACTATGAGCATATCCTGTAAGGAATCACAAACCTTGAACAGTTGTGGGTCGATGTAAGAAGTGAAGCGCAAAACACTTGTTACGTATTTAGCAGTGGCAATTGGAGCCAGTGCAAAATTGATTTTAATCTTTTCAGCCAGTTGTGGATTTGTTGCAAATGCTGCAAAAGCTGGAAGGAAACAAGAGAATGGACTAGTTTACGGGTTCTCTCTTTCTTCAAATTTCCATTGACATTTGGCTGGTTCACCTAAGATTACATAATATGCATGTTACCTTACCATATATTCCAAAGTGGTCTCTAGGGATTTCCCCTACACCTAACCCTGCACATTACCCCCAGATTGATTTCTCTAAATCCCATTCGGTTTGTCTGAGTGGTTGCTGATTCTGTAGCGTGACATTCAGTGATCCCTGGTATTTTATTTCATTAGTAAAAAATCTGGAAAAAATAAACCACTCCTGTTCCCATTGACCAATTTCTCTCACACTTTCAGGATTCTAATTGGCACTTAGATGTTTTCCTCTCTGGGTGGTTCTACCTGTTTTTTCTCTACTGATTACTTGGAATCTGTATTACATGTACTGAGGACCTAGATACATCCTCTACTCTTTTGGCCTCTTTACAAGAGAGGCTGAGTAATCTGTCTTTCAAAGACCAGCCATATTTAAAGTTCAGCTCAACATTCTTTTTTTTCCACAAAATATTCACTAATAACTGTGTTGAAAGACATGTCTTCTTCCATGGCCACAGGATGACTATCATGGTCCCAGACATTTTTGCCTTCATGGGATTGTTCCTCTGCACACACACAAAAAATGTAAAACCATATTTTGTGACTGTATTGATATAAAGATGAATATGTTCTAAGATGGATTATAGTCATTTTTCTGTTTTTAAAAGAAATTAAATATTTTTTTTTGGTCCCTAAATTGTCATGAACTCTAAGAACTTGGCCTCCCATGCCTAATGGGTTAGCCAGGTCTGTCTTCTCTGCTCGCCTCTTTCCTGTCCGCCTGACTACCAACAAGCCTTCTAAAAATGCTCTTCCTTTTGCAGTGGTTCTCCAGCAGTGGTAACTTTGCCCCTCAAGGAACTTTTGGCAATGTGTTGGGACATTTATGGTTGTCATAATTCCAAGGATGGAGAGGGAGGAGTGTGCTACCAGAATGTAGTGGGTAGAGACCAGAGATGCTACTAAGCATCCTTCTATGCACAGGGCAGCCCCCCACAGCAAAAAAATATGTGGTCAAAATATCAGTAGAACTGAGGGTGAGAAACCCTGCATTACTGGATTGTGAGCTTTGAGGCAATGAGATTTCTTTAGTATACAATTTACATTGCAAGTATCAGTCAACAAAGTATATTTCAAATAGTAGCTACACTGCACGGTTAAACAAATGAATACTTGAATTAATTAGAAATGTTTTCCTGGCCAGTTGATAGGTTTGGAAGCATCTAGTCTATTGGATTTTCAGTATGAAAATTAACATGCCTCACACCAACCTAGAGCAAAACCAGGAAAAGCTCAAAGAAAGCTCACTGGGCAGCAGAATGTAACTGCCCAAAGAAGCCAAACTAACAAGGCTATAGTTTTTTCATAAAGAGTGTCAACACATCAGCTTTCTAATAAGCAAGCACTATAAGGAAAAGAAAAAAAAATACATGCCCAGTCCTCAGTCTTGGAAATTCCAGTTGCAGAGAATCTAAACAAACATCTTGTTTAAAGTGTGTGGTGTGATTGGAAAGATGATATCCATTATTTTTCTTTTTAAAAGATATGCACCTATATATCATCATAAAACAATTATCACTGGCTTTTAAATTTTGTTCCTTTTTGGCTTGTCTGTATGTTCTGATTAATTATAGTGAATATATGTGATTTCTAAAAATGAAATTCTTTTTAAAAAGAAATGTTTTATTTGTTGTTTTTTGAAAGAAAGATTGTAGCACAATCAGACTTCAGTTTCTCTTAGCATACCAATCAGGGTGTCCTGGGAATGGCCCACATAGTAAATTTGCTTTTGTCCTGTTTTCTTCACAATGAAATCAATGGTGGCTGGAAGATCATATTTCACCATTTCATCAAAATTGCATGAAACAAAAATGGATAAAACTTGTTTTAATTTTTTTTAGTCATAAGAAAGTTATTTTCAAGTTTTAAATTATAGACTTAAAAAGCCCCTCTAAATGAGACCTGGGTAGTAAGAGGAAACATTGACTTAAGACTTTCTATAAGTTAACTGTTACTGTGCTACTTGCTTGTAAGCACCACTTTATTCCATGCTCACAAAATACCTTTGAGATAAGTTTATAATTAGGTATATTGTAGACCTGGAGAAAGTGGAAATGTGCTGTGATCATAGCCAATAATTGCTAGACTAAATTTCAGAGTACTCTTGTTCTAGGGAGCCTAAGTTCTAAGCTAAGACATTAAATTATACGACTTTCCCATAAAATAAATATGAGAAATATACTATTTAAAATTAGGTAGCAGACAAAAAAAGTTTCTAGAAGTGTAAAGACGAAAATAGAAAGTTTATTTGTTTTGGTAAATGGACAAGGACAGATGCTGTTATATTATTCTACTACTCTGTGGCCCAGAGCCACCTGGTACATTTTTACCCTTGTCTTCTCCTCCCCCCTCCACTTTTCTTTTCTGAAAACACGAGGATGCACACTCAAAGTAAATAGCAGTGGATGGCTTGGCAATGTATTAATATTTAGGAAGCTGGGGGAAGAGTAGGAAATAATGTCTTTTTCACATGTTTTCTTCTTAATTCTTAGGCACATTAAAAGCAATATAAAGAAAAATCTAGAGCAATTTTTCCATATAAATATTTAAAATATCATTCAATAGTTACGTATTTTAACAAAATACCTTTATTCCAGTTCTGCAAATTTATTTAACTATTAATAATATAAATAAACATTTAGCCAATTTTTAAGTCCAAAAAACACAATACAGATTTTTTTCCCTACCTGAAAGCCCAGAATTCTTTGGAGTCTGTTTCCAGGTACAGGTGTTTCCTGGATCACCTATTTCCTCTGCTGCTTCCCATCCACACATCATAACCAGCATCGGCCAGAAGAAAGCCCAGGCTATTGTTGGGAGGATTACAAATCCAGATACTGGAAGTTAATAGCACACCATGCTGTAAATACACAACAGGCTTTTGGACTGAAAAGAAAGAAGGGAAAATGTTTTATAACAGGAAAATCCATTGCAAATTACAACACAGGTTTTCAAATCACCATAACATAGTTAGGACTGTTTGGCTTGTATCCCAAAGAAACGTGCTAACAATTTATTACATTTATTTTATATGAACAAATATTATTCCATAATCCTCAGGGCAGTAGAATTGCCGCTTCCTATTCTTGCCCCACTTCCTCAAGTGTAAATTTCCCTGGTGGATGATTTTAATTTCTAAGATTTACAGGTTATATTCTTTCTAAGTAAAGAGTTTATACTTTGTGAAAAGCAAAAGAGAAATATCCAGAAACAGGAATGCTTTGGGACCCCTAAAATTCATGTGCTGATTATTAAAGAGAAAAGGTGCCTTCCTGAAGTTGAATAGCATCTGCATTCTCTGAGCGCTTAGACAGAAAGGAGGAGTGAACCAGATCACTGCTGTCACACTAGGAAGAGCAATTATGAACACTTACTTCAGTAAACTGAAGCATCCCAGAGAATAATGTGGTTGAAAGTTCTAGGGCTTCTATTCAGGGCCTCTGAGTTCCCACCCAGCACATCAAACAAAATCCATGGGCCTGTGTACGCTCCGGTTTCTCATCAGGGAAGACAATGTGTCACTCAGACCCCTGGCTTTATCTCAGAAAGTCAAGGAGTAGAACTTTGGATTTTTCATGAGTAACTTAATTTCAGCTTCTCTGATTAGAAGGTATTTGACTAGAATGTATTTGATTCAAGACTTGAGTTTCATTTTTCTCCCTCATTCCAATCCTACCTGAATTATTAGAATCATTCTTCCCATGAGGAATTCGGTAGAGGAGAAGGACGTAGCCATCTGCAGTTAGCACTTCATATGCTTCATGTGGGTAAACCCAGTAGGAAATTGTCTCACTCTAAATGGAGAAAAGACAAAATATTCAGCTTCATGAATTCCCTTGGCCATTTTTATGCTTCTTAAAGTAGAATTTCTCATTGGTTGGGGTAACATATACTATGTACAGAGAGCTTTCAGATTTTAATAATAATTTTTTTTTGAGGAAGATTAGCCCTGAGCTAACATCTGCTGCCAATACTCCTCTTTTTTGCTGAGGAAGACTGGCTCTGAGCTGACATCTGTGCCCATCTTCCTCTACTTTTTATATGTAGGACGCCTGCCACAGCATGGCTTGACAAGTGGTGCATAGCTCCGCACCTGGGATCCGAACCGGCGAACCCTGGGCTGCCAAAGCAGAAAGTGCAAACTCAACCACAGTGCCACCAGTCTGGCCCCTAGTAAATTTTTAAAAGCTGAATGAAAGTAATAGTGCCAAGATCTTTGGAAGTGCGTTTTTTTAAATTAATGATAAGAATAACTTACAGTATTCATATTGGCTTCAGGGTTGACAGGTTGTTTTCCAAGTAAACAAAAGGCATTTCCAAACATAGGGACAAAGTACACTGTTGAAAGTAGCCACCACATTTTGAACCTACTGGGGGAAAAGTTATTAGCACGATGCAGTAAATGCTACAGTGTAAAGTCATGTTATTGGCTGCCTTGCTATTTGCTTTACAGAGTTTCCATATGTCACCTTATCCTCTGGTTCTCCCTGTGTCTTATCGCCTTGTCTGTTAGATGGTTTTACAACATTTCTGTTATTCTGCTCATTTCCTTTCAGTTGTGCACAGGATTCTGATTTCCCAAAGAATCTTTTATCTATCAAACTTCCCTTGTAGACTAGATGTCAGATCGACTATTTACTATCTGTAACAGGTTAAATTGTTTCCCTCCCCCACCCCCCAGACCAAAAAAAGACATGTTGAAGTCCTAACACTTAGTACCTCAAAATGTCACTGCATTTGGAAAGAGGTTATTGCAGATTATTTAAGCTAAATAAAGATTAAGTTAAATTAAGATTATGTAATTTAAGATGAGGTGATGCTGTAGTAGAATGAGCCCCTGATCCTGTGCGACTGGTGTTCTTCTAAGAAGATGACCATGTGAAGACAGAGATACCGAGGGAGAAAGACATGTGACAACGAAGGCAGAGACTGGAACCAGGCAGCTGGCAAACCATTAAAAGTCAGGAAGAGGCGATGAAGGATTTCCCTACAGGTTTCAGAGGGAGCATGGCCCTTCAAACACCTTAATTTCAGACTTCTAGCATCCAGAACTGGTATAATATTTGGTTACTTTAAGCCACTCAGTTTGCGGTACTTAGTTGGGACAATCCTAAGAAACTGATACACCGTCTGTCAGAAAAGGGAAAGAAAATTATCACCTGGACTGATCTTCTTGATTGAAATTGTGAATAAAACAAGGCAGTCCATGATTCACTGTCTGTTTTGTATGTGAGAACTTCCTTTAATCACTTAAAAAAGGCAGACCAAATTTTACGCAAACGTTAACAATAGAGGGCAATTTTTGTATTGTTGCTTTAAAATGTCTAGATTCAAAGACGACCTATTAAGTAGCTCTTTTGTTCACTCGCTGTACTACACATCTTTCATGCTACTTAATCACGGACCAATGCTCTATTTCAAATTTATAGGTGTCCTGATTCCTCTCCATTCCTACTGCAAAGATCTACACCAACTCTTCCCCTTTCCCTAATGGATATTTTTCCTAATGGACGTCGGTACAGCAGAACCCCCACTCTCACCCCAACCTTGGAAATGCTCCCTTGTCTCCCATTTCCAGCTCCCAAATTTTTCCAAAGTTGCAGACTTCTAGTTTCCTCTGCTCTCTACATGAAACCCCCATATCCAAGCTATCCTGTAGTTTTCCTGGGCTGCAGTCTTTAGCTCTAACCATGACACATTGATTCAACAAAAAAAGTTTAGCTTGAGGGATACACAAAAGAATGGAATATTCTCTGCCTTCAAGGTGCTTACAAGCTAGTGATAGTTCAGCAGTAACAGCTCTTTCTACTTGCCTTCTTACGTCTACTTTTCAGGCACTTCTCAGTCCCTTCTCTTTCTAGTCTACTCAAGGCCTATGTGCTTGCCCTTAAAATCTCAAACTTAATCTGAAGCCTTAGGCCAGTCAAATAGAAAGATGACTAGGTAGCAAGATATCAATAGAGCATCTTGTTCAGTTCCTGGCTCCACAGACATTTGCTGATCAATAAACAAAAACTAACCATATTATTAGTAGCACTCTTCAGATCTAATAAATCTCTTTGTAATAGCTCCATGCCTTCTAAAGAATAGCTAAAAGGAAATTAAAATGAACTGACCTCATTATTCCTTAGAGCCATCTGTCTCACCCTTATCTTTTCAGCAACAATTAAATAATAAAATTCTTTCTCACTAGCTGTATGAATCTCATCAGAGGCTCCCTAGGACTTGCCCTAAAGGACCAAAATTAGTGTGTGTTGTTTTGACCAAAGACTGCAAAGAATCCTTTGACCAAAGATTGTAAAGAGCTAAATTCAAAGTCATCAGATTTTGACAAGGAGAGGAAGCAGAAGAGAAGATAAGAAGTAGGGGTGAGAAGGGGAGAGCAAAAGAGATTAAATGGTCATATGATGCTAGAATTTGTAAACTGTGAGGGACCTAATCTGGCCAACACTGCCAATCTGGTCTTCTTTTGATAACTATAAACACCAAAAGCATCCTTTAATATTATTTGGATTACTAAAATAAATGAATTTTTCCCAAAGATTGCACATATATTGTTAATAAATACTGAATGTGTTTTCAACCTCCTTGCCATTTCCTATACAGATTCTGATCATAGAGACATTCTACTAATATTGATTTGAGAGCCACTCAGATTTCATCTCAAGTTAGAAACTGTAAAGCTGAGGAGATAGAGCCCAGTGGCAATGTAGTCCACTCCTGTTACATATTCAGGGCATTGCTTAGTCTTTTCTTTTCTCAAGTCCCCTGAAATCATGACCCCAAAGAATAAAAAAAGGGACAGAAACTTCCTAGAAAAAAATCTTTATATACAATATAATCAAAGTTGTAAATTTTAATCGAGAATCATGCTTTGCCTAAGGTAGAAATAAACTTCACATATAAATATAGTAATTTTGAAGTATAATAAACAAACTTTATAATGCAGAAAGAGTCATACTCACTGTTACCAAATATAAATGCTTTCTGCTTTCTGGGGGGCAAATCAAAAATTTAATTCTCTTTTTCCTTCTCTATCTCACTACATATATAGCGTATATGCGTGTGTTTTGGATGACCTTTCCAAAAAAAATATACAGTGGTTGCATTTACAGAGAACTCTCATATTTGCCAAATGGCAAGGCAAATATTTCATAAGCAATCAACTCACAAAAGGATATGCTTCCAAAACATCCTCAGAGATTCATTCTCTTTGATTCATTAGCTGCTGAACCTGCTTCCCTATGTCCTCACGCATCCTTATTCTCTGCCCACATCGTCCTTCTCTGAGTATTCCAGACTCTAGCTATCACCAAGTCTCTCCCCAGCACTTGGGTAGGAACACTTTAACTAATGAAGATGTGCATTAATCTTAAAATAGTGAGTATGACCCACTGGAATAGTTTTCAAAATTTTGGAGAAAAATGATTTTTTATCAAAAGCTTTTGACAGTTGTTGTAGGTAGAGTTATAACATGACTTACCAAATCTTGTGTATGTGAACAAAATCGAGTTTTATTTATTTATTTAGTGAAATTTTATTTTATTGTTGTAAGAACCTTAACATGAATGAGTTCTACACTCTTAACAAAATTTTAAACATACGGTACAGTATAGGGACAGCACAGGCAAAGTTGCCCTTACTCTATAGTCTGTTCAAGCTCATTTCTTTACTCCAGTGAGTGTGCTGGAATCTCCCTTCTGAATGGCTGGACTTCTACAAAGTCCTCCTTGACTGCAGGTGTCTACCCAAGTCAGCCTTCCCTAGGTTTTCCCCAACCACAGCAGAGAGGGGTTGGGGCAGGTGTGCTGGCTCCTCCTAGTTCCACAGCCCTATGGAGGTGTGTCAACCTATTGCCAGATGCACAGTTGGGTGAGACATCTCGAGGTCCCTTGGCGCATGGTGCTGGATTCCACAACTTCCACATACGTGTTTGTATTTGTAGATGAATACTGATTTTTAGTTCTTAAAAAGGGGGACAGAGAGGACAGACATCTTGCACCAACTTGATGCTGACATCACCTCAGTATTGTCAAAATGTCTATTTTCCTCAGATTTCTCTATGTATTCAACATAATCACATCACAGTAAAAATTCCAGCAGACTTTTTGGTAGAAGTTGTCAAGCCTGTACTAAAATTTATATGAAAGGCAAAGGACCTAGACTATTCAAAGAAAATTTAAGAAAGGAGAACAAGTTTGAGGACTTCTCCCTGATTTCAAGACTTAATCAAATTACTATAACGTTACTATAATCAAGAGAGCCTGGTAAACAAAATGTAGTGTATCCATATAGTGGAATACTACTCAGTAATAAAAATGAGCAAACTACTATTATAAGTAACAATATAGATGAATCTCAAAATCATTCTGTGGAGTGAAGAAAGAAAAGGCATCCAAATCAGAAAAGAAAAAGTAAAACTGCCAATATTTTCAGATGATGTGACATTATGTACAGAAAACCATAAAGATTCCAGCAAAAAACAGTTAGTACTAATAAATTCAGTACAATTGCAGGATAAAAAATCAATATATAGAAATCTGTTGCACTTCTAAACACTACTAACGAACTATCAGAAGAGAAATTAAGAAAACCATCCCATTTAAAATTGCATCAAAAAGAAATAAAATACTTAGGAATAAGTTGAACTTAGTAGGTGAAAGACCTGTACACTGAAAACTGTAAGACACTGGTGAAAAAAATTGAAGAAGATGCAAATAAATGGAAAGATATTTTGTGCTCACAGATTGGAAGAATTAATATTGGTAAAATAGCCATGCTACCCAAAGCAACACACAATTCAATACAATCCTTATCAAAATTCTAATGGCGTTTTCCACAGAAATGGAACAAATGATTCTCAAATTTGTATGGAACCACAAAAGACCACAAGTAGCCAAAGCAATCTTGGGAAAGAAGAATAAAGCAACAAAGCAGGAGGCATCACAATTCCTGATTTCAAACTCTTTTACAAAGCTCTAGTAATCAAAATAGTATGGTATTGGCATAAAAGCAGACACATAGATCAGTGGAACAGAATAGAGAGCCCAGAAATAAACCTATGTATACATGGTCATCTAATTTATGACAAAAGAGCCAAGAACATACAGTGGAGAAAGGACAGTCTCTTCAATAAATGGTGTTTGGAAAATTGAACAGCCACATGCAAAAGAATGAAACCAGGCCACTATCTTACAGTATGCACAAAAATTAATTCAAAATGTATTAAAGATTTGAATATAAGTCCTAAAGCCATAAAACTCCTAGAAGAAAACATAGGTGGTAAGCTCCTTGACATTGGTTTTGGCAATGACTTTTTGGATTTGAAAACAAAAGCACAAGCAACAAAAGCAAAAATAAATGAGTGGCGCTACATCAAACTAAAAAGTTTCTGCACAGCAAATGAAATCATCAACAAAATGAAAAAATCACCCTACCGAATGGGAGAAAATAATTGCAAATCATGTATCTGATGAGAGGTTAATATCCAAAATATTTAAAGAACTCATCCAACCAATAACAAGAAAACACACAATCCAATTAAAAAATTGTAAGAGGATCTGAATGCACATTTTCCCAAAGAAGACCTAGGGATGGCCAAGAGGTACGTGAAAGGGTGCTCATTAAAAGACTTGATAGGATATCCATGAAAAAGGAAGCACATTGCAAGAAACAAAATCTACCACCGTCAAACAACAACTTCACAATTAAAAACATCACTTTGTATGAAGTCCATGGCAAATTAAAAATGGCGACAAATTATGTGAAGATCCTTTCATTAGGAGATGGAGTCTCTTTCTGCTTCCCTTGAATCTGTGCTTGTCTGCGATTGTTTTGACCAGTAGAGTACAATAGAAATGAAGTTATCCCAATTTAGGCCATGTCTTTGATATGACTAAAATCTTCCATCTTGTCTTGCAGATCTCTGAGCCTCCAAGTAAGAAGTTCAACTACCCTGAGCCTGTCCTTTCGTAAGGAAGAACCAAGAGGCCACATTGAGATACCAAGAAGAGAGAAAGATAAGGGAAGGAGAGGGAAAGAAAGAAGGAAGAGAGAGACAGAGGGGGGAGAGGAGGGAAAGAAATAGAGAGAGAGAGAGAGACAGAGAAAGAGAGAGAGACAGACAGCCACAGCTATGGGTTGTGAGGTTTCATTATATAATAATGAAAATGTTCTAAAATTGATAGTTGTGATGGTCGCACAAATCTGTGAATATACTAATATCCATTGAATTGTACTTTCGATGGATGAATTATATAGCACGGGTAATATGCTCAATAAAGCTCCATAAAGCTGTTAATAAAAAAAGAACAAACATGCACCATTTAATTTCTAAACATGTAGGGCTATCTTTTTGTTAATAATTTTTGGCTTAATTCCATTGAGGTTAGAGCATATTTTATGCATGATTTTAATCTTTTGAAATTAATTAAGGCATACTTTATGGCCCAACATATGACTAAGTTTTCTAAATGTTCCAAGTATGTAGGGAAAAAATATACATACACTGCAGTTGTTTTGTGCAACATTCTTCGTATATCAAATAGGGAAGATTTGATAAGAATGTCGTTCAGGTCTATATTCTTAGTTATTTTTTATCTGCTTGTTCTACCATTTACTTCAAAACATTTGTTTACTATATCTCAGTATAATGTGGATTTATCTCTCTCTCCTTGTTGTGCCCACTTTACTTTACATGTGTGTCAGTTTGAGTCTTCAGGGAAGCACACATCAGGAACTATAAGTGGAAGAGATTTTTTGGGGAAACATCCATGGAATATAAAGAAGAGAGAGTAAAAGTGGAGGTAGGGACAGCTTTCAGATTGTGATGCAGGTCTGACACTTGTGAAAGGAGAGAGGAAAAGGAGGTCAGGCAGTGAAGTAGTTATCCATCTCTGCATAAGAAATTTCCCCAAATGTAACACCAGAGATGGCCCACTTCTGCTCAAGGCAGGCGTCCTCTAATGGCAATATTTAGTCTAACCAGGCTGACGTTTTCTTAGCGCTATGTTGCAATCTGAGACTGTTTCTACCTGTGATAGCCAGCCTCCAGGGTGACTCTTGAATTAAACACAACTCCACGTAATGCCGCTGAGAGAGGACATTTAGGTTTTTGTTAGGAGTCCCAAGACTTCTTAGGGTCGACGATTCATCAGGAAGACTCACAGGCCTCAGAAAACGTTATACATACTGTTAAACGGTATATTACAGAAAATGAAAACAGATTAAAATCAGCAAAAGGTAAAGAAAATTCAGGGGGAAGTCTAGGAGAAAACAAGCATAAGCTTCCAGATGTCCTCTCTCAGCGGCATTACGTGGAGTTGTGTTTAATTCTCCCAGCAACGCTGTGTGCAAACACACAGGCATGCAGTATTTGCATGACTGACCTCAGCTACTCAGACTCCAGCCAGCAGAACAAAACAGGCATTCACCTGTCCACACAAATTATCTGATCAAACTGGCACCACAGTTTCGTGGTACACCTATCAGGAAGAATTTCCCAAGGGTTTAGAGTTCAGCTAATCCTGAAGACAAGCCTTTCTTAGAAATGTCCAGAGTTAGAGTAGCCCAGGCCCGCTAAATTAATCCTTTCCTGCACAGATTTGTAGAAATTATTTATGTATTATAGATTAGAGTCCATTTCACTTATATGTGTTGTAATTATTATCTCCCGCTATCTGACTGGCTTTTTATTATCTTAACTGTTTTGGTAAGCAAAAGTTCTTCATTTTCATGGATAAATTCATTCATCTTTCCTTTTGTGTTGAGCCTTTTTTGTACCCTGCTTAGGAAATCTTAACCTATTTTAAGATTATGAAAATATTAACTTATATTTCCTTCTAAAAGCTTTATTGTTTTCCTTTCACTTTTAGATATACCTGAAACTGATGACTGTGTGGTGTGAGGTAAGCGTCATGTTTCTTTATTCTTCTATTTGGATATTCAAATGATTCAGTGTCATTGTTGAAGACACCGTCCTTGTTTTTATTCCTTGCCTTCAGTGCTACTTTTCCCACAAATCAAATGTTCATACGTCTGTGGTTCTGTTTCTGGACTCCCTATTCTATTCCATTGACCAATAAATTCCTATCTTAATTATTGCAGCTTTATAATAAGTCTCAACGTATAGTAGAGTAAGTGATGAGATTTTGTTCAAATTATTCAAGTGTTTTGGATATTCTTGACATTTTTAATCACACATAACTTTTAGAATCAGTTTGTCAATCTCAATAAAATCTGTTGGAAATTTCATTGGGATTATACTAAATTTTTAGACCAATTTGGGAAGAACTGACATTTTTACAATATTAATTTTCCCAATCCTTGCACTAGGATTTCCATTGCTTAATTTATGTATTCCATAATTTATTTCTGAACCACTTAATAGTTTTCTCTGTATTGAGATCTCCTATAGCTTTTATTATATTTAATTGAAGATATCTGATGGTTTTGATGTTGTAAATACATATTTTTTAAAAATTTTTACTTTACATATATTTCTGGTGGGAAAAGATGAATTATAGACAAATATATTTTTTTAAAGGGAAAACGCTTACTTTCAATTAGTATAAGAAGTCAGACATTAGAAGGACTGGCTCACCAAATTTAAAAAAATCAGATGGTATTTAAAGAAATAAAAAAGCAAAATTATCATCAGTCTGTTTATGGTAGAAAAACAGTTACTTTTTCATGTAATTATCACATCCACAAAAGTCATAAAATTTTTTTAGACATCAGCATTACAAGTTAGGAATAAAGACATTTTCGTTAGTCACTTTTGTCCTATGTAAATGATTCTTATTATTTGGTCTCAAGTTAGGCAGCCAGCCTCCACAAAGATGTCAGATTTTTCAAGGAAAGAGCACTGTAACTCCTGATTCTGCCCTTGGTGCAGTCTGACAAGTGTCAGTTTCTGGTGATCACATTCACTGGCTGACGAAAGACGGAAAAAATGAATCTGTGTTCTGTAGAATCAATTTTCAAGAGTAACTGCTACAGTCCTTTGCTAAGGTATTTTTAAATGTTTCTTCCCAAAACAGAGACCACCAGATGATCACACCATTCAACCTAATTTCTTCATATTTACATCAACAGGGGCGTGTTTGGCCATGCACAAATCAGTACCAGAGCAAGAACAAGACTGGACCAAGAATCATACATAATTGGGAAGTAAATTAGAAAAAGAAGTAGAAAGCAGAGGGGTGAGGGGAAAAGAGAAAGAGAAAACTCTATTGCTACACAAGAATCACCTTGGAAACTAAGAAAGTCTTGCCTTGGGACAAGGGACCGGTGGAAGATTCACTTGATATACTGCAGCTTTGTCAACGATGGTAGTGTTACTGAACCTGAAGTGAGTTCGCTCACCCGTTGCACAGCAAGCCAATCTCTGACACCAGGTGTGGTGGAAGAAAGTAGGAATTTTATTTTCGCACAGCGCTGAGCAAGCAGAGAGGGCGGCTAATGCTGAAATCCCAAACTCCCTGAAAATCCAAAAGGAAGGGTTTTTAGGTAGGGGAGAGGGAGCATATGGCCTTGCTGGTGGGAGCTTTCCCACCAGCCTGTCTTTGGCCTTGAGACACTTGCAGAGAGAAGGGAGCCCATGACCTTGCTGGTCAGCAGCTTTCCCACCAGCCCGTATCTCTTTGCAGGAGGAGATAGTCCAGGTGCTTGTCCTTGAAGGTGTCTGTCTCCATGGAGGATAGCGGATTCTGGAGCCAGGAAGCCAGAGAGTAAGCAGGGATTGAGCGTTTTGGTTTTAACCCCATATATGCTGGGTTTAACATGGGGAAACTGATATCAGGGTGGATATCAGTAGGTGAGTCCTCTGGACATGTATGGATGGGTAACTCAGAGAGAAATGATGTTAAAAAGGAGAATAATGAGTTTTCATTCAAAGAGTTTCAAGCAAACAGACTTTAGCAGGCCTGCCTTACCAAATAAGAAATATAACAAGTATCTAAAAGGTGAAAAACACAAGATTACAATGGTTACATTAGCCACTCATGCAGGTAAAACAGCAATGTTCTCACGTATTATCATATTGACAAAGATTGTGACATTCATTCAGACAACAGTACTAACAACAGAAATCAGGAATAAAGATATTTTTTTTTTGTCCAGAGTCAATAATTTACAAGTGAAGCTCCAGGTTACATTTATATTGAGAACCACAGCTTGACCTAATTCTTTTTTGTTTATCTCAGGGTGCAAAGTCATATTTTTTCTTTTTGACCATGAGATTGTGCCATATATGTTTATTGGTAATGGTTGCAGGGCTTAGTGTCAGTTTTGCTTCTGCACTGGGCCATATGAATGCAATAATCTTTTAAATTGACCTTAAATCAAAGCAACTTTGTTCCACTCACCGATTAATTTTAATAATTTATATGTAAATTCCTTTCAGTTTTCTATGTATGCAATCATTAGCTGAGAATAATGTTTTATTTTTCTCTTTACTAATCTTCATACTTTTATTTCCTATATTTGTCATATTGACTAGCGAGGATCTGTATTACAATGTTGACATGAATGGTGATGGGCACATGATGTCTATCCCAGTCGCAGCAGGAAAGCTTTTGATTTTTCATCAGTAACTGTAAGCTCTGATCTAAATATGCTTTATCAGATTAAGGAAATTTTATTTTATTCTTATTTATTTATTTATTTTTTGGGGGGGAGAAGATTGGTTCTGAGCTAACATCTGTTGCCAATCTTCCTGTATTTTGTATGTGGGATGCTGCCACAGAATGGCTGATAAGCGGTGTGTAGGTCCATGCCCAGGATCCAAACCCATGACCTCCAGGCTGCCAAAGTGGAGCGTGCGAACTTAACTACTATGCCCCCGGGCTGGCCCCAATTCTATTCTTATTTCAAGAGTTATTATCAAAAATAGATTTTAAATTTTGGCAAATGCTTTTCAGCTTCTATTAAAATGATTATATAGTTTCCCCCATCTTATACTCTTAATATTGTGAATTTGATAGACTGGTGATTCAATGTCCACACATTCTTGTTTTCTTTTCTCTTATGCAAATACCTAAGAGTGGAATGGCTGGTTAACATGTTAAGTACATTTTCAACTTTATAAGAAATTGCCAGTCTGTTTTTGCAAACCAGTCACAGCACTTTCTTTCCCACCAGCAATGTATAAGAGTTCTAGTTATTCCGCAATCTTGCCAATGCTTAGTAATGCCTCTCTTTTAATTTGTTATTCTAGTGGTTGTTAAATGATATCTCTTACTGTTTTAATTTGTATTTCTCTGATGACTAGTGATGCTGAATATCTTTTCATATGCTCATTGATCATTCTTTTTTTCCCCCAGCTTTACTAAGGTATGATTGAAAAAAAATGTATATATTTAAGATGGACAATGTGATGTTTTGATATACAGATACACTGTGATATGATTACCACAATCAAGCTAATTAACATGACCATCACCTCACATAGTTAGCTTTTTGTGTGTGTGGAGGAACACTTGAGATCTCCTTTCTTAAGAAATTTCAAGTATCCATCATTATTAACTATAGTCACCATGCTATCCATTAGGTCTCCAGAATTTATTCATCTTCATTATGCATAACTGTCAGTTTGTATCCTTTGACCAACATCTCCCCATTTTCCCCAACCCCATTCCCTGCTAACCACCATTCTATTCTCAGTTTCTATGACTTCGACTTTTTTAGATAGCGCATATAAATGAGATCATACAGTACTTGCCTTTCTCTGTATGGATTATTTCATTTAGCAGAAAGTCCTCCAGGATCCTCCATTTGTTGCAACTGGAAGGATTTCCTTCTTTTTTAAGACTGAAAAATATTCCAGTGTGTGTGTGCTTATGTTTGTATGTGTGTGTGTACTATATATATATATATATAGATATCACGTAATATATATATATATCATGTATATGATATATATCATGTATATGTGTGTAATACAGACATATATATATGTATGTATCACAATCACATCTTCTTTCTCCATTTATCCACTGATGTCACTTAGGTTGTTTCCACATCTTAGCTAATGTGAATAATGCTGCAATGAATATGGGAATGCACATATCTATTCAAGATAGTGATTTTATTTTTTTTGGATATATACCCAGATGTGAGATTGCTGGATCACATGGTAGTTTCATTTTTTACTTTTTGAGAAACTCCATGTTGTTTTCTATAGTGGCTGTACCAATTTAGATTCCTATCAATGCTGTGTAAAATCTGCCTTTTCTCCATGTACTTGTCAACACTTGTTACTGTTTGACTTTTTGGTAATAGTCATCCTAAATGTTGGGAGGTGATTTTGATTTGCATTTCCCTGATGAATAGTGACGCTGAACACTTTTTCATATACCTGTTCCATTGGCCATTCTTACATCTTCTTTTGTGAAGAATCTGTTTAGGTCTTTTGCTCAATTTTTTTTTGGTCGCTTGTCTTCTTAGTATTGAGTTGTAAAGTTATTTTTATAAATTCTAGATAAACATCTTTTGTCACGTATATTTGTTTAAATTTTTTTCCCAGTTGGTGGCTTATCTGTCATTCTCTTAAGTGTCATTTGATGGGCAGAAGGTTTTAGTTTTCGTGGCATTCAATCTATCAACAATTTCTTCATAGTTGCTCTTATTTTTGTGTTTAATCTAGGATATCTTTGCCTGCCCCAAAGTTTCACAGAATTTCTCCTCTGTCTTCTTCTAGAAATTTTAGAGGTCTGCCTTGGAGATTTAGGTCTATGATCCATTTCAAATTAAATTTTATGTTTTATGTAATGTAGAGGTCAACATTCATCTTTTTCTATAATGATATACACTTTTGAAAACACAATCTAAACCCCGCTGAAGATCAATTGATGATATAGGTGTAGTCTGTTTCAGGACTTTGTATTGTTCCATGGATCTAGGTATTTTTTTATACTATTACCACGCTTTCTTTTTTTTGTTTTAGTACATTTCTTTTTTTTTTAAAGATTGGCACCTGAGCTAACAACTGTTGCCAATCTTATTTTATTTCTTTTCTTCTTCTTCTCCCCAAAGCCCCCCAGTACATAGTTGTATATTCCAGTTGTGAGTGCCTCTGGTTGTGCCACATGGGATGCTGCCTCAGCATGGCCTGATGTGCGGTGCCGTGTCTGCACCCAGGATCCAGACCTGCGAAACCCTGGGCTGCCGAAGCAGAGCACACAAACGAACTTAACCACTTGGCCACGGGGCCAGCCTCCACACTTACTTAATTAATGTATCTTTGTGGTTTAAATCTTATAATTAGGTAGTGTATACCCTCCAAACTTTGTCAAAATTATTCTGGTAATTCTAGATTAATGGTAATTCTGTAGGTTTACCAAAGAAACTTCTCCTCGGTGGGCTGAATTCCAATTTTCACTTTTACTTCTAGAATAAACAGATGTTGCTAGGATATAAACATCTAAAATGCCAGGCTTGTTACCAAACCTGAAGTGGGTTCGCTCACCCGTTGCACAGCAAGCCAATCTCTGACACCAGGTGTGGCGGAAGAAAGTAGGAATTTTATTTTTGCACAGCGCTGAGCAAGGAGAGAGGGCAGCTAATGCTGAAATCCCAAACTCCCTGAAAAGCTAAAAGGAAGGGTTTGTATTTTGGGTTTTAGGTAGGGGAGAGGGAGCATATGGCCTTGCTAGTTGGAACTTTCCCACCAGCCTGTCTTTGGCCTTGAGACCCTTGCAGAGAGGAGGGAGCCCCTGACCTTGCTGTCAGCAGCTTTCCCACCGGCCTGTATTTCTTTGTGGGGAGGAGATGATCCATGTGCTTGTCCTTGACAGTGTCTGTCTCCATGGAGGATAGTGGATTCTGGAGCCAGGAAGCCAGAGAGTAAGCAGGGACTGAGTGTTTTGGTTTTAACTCCATATATGCTGGGTTTAATGTGGGGAAACTGATATCAGGGTCGGTATCAGGCTTACTACTATGGGTTTCTTTCTTTTGACCCTGTAATTCTTCACTGCATTTTTCAGCTCTCCATTGCCTTCAAATAGATGCTTTTTACATTTTTCCAAGTCTGAATTACTCAGTCCACCATCACCAGACACTTACTATTTACTTATTCAATTTATTTAAACTAAAAAGAAAACCCTCAAAACAGTTCACTCATCTTTCCCCTCCCCAACCCCTACTTATGGCAACCACCAAACTGTTCTCTGTGTCTATGAGCTTAGTTGTATCTTATTTTATTTTTAATTTTCTTTTATATTTCACATAAAAGAGAGATAGAGTATTTGTCTTTGTCTGGCTTATTTCACTCAGCATAATGCCTTTGAGGTTCATCCATGTTGTTGCAAACGGCAAGATTCCATTCATTTTTATGGCTGAATAATATTGCTTTGAGTATATATAGGATAATTTCTTTATCTATTCATCCA